ACCACCATCCAAACCCCCTCACAAGCAACAAGCAAGCTGTGGACTAAAGCTCCACAGTTTCACTTCATAGTCATCAATAGAAGTGACACAAGAACTTTTGCAGCTAACTTTAAAAACAAAACATGAGTTGACCAGTCCCCAGGCTTGACACCCCTCGCAGTCAGATTGAGGTCTGTTGCTCATAACTGATCCCACAATGACATGTAAACTCCACAAATTGCATTACAGCCTTTCAAAAGTCCCAGCCAGAGTCCTCCTTGCTTAGCCCCCTCCTCCACTGTAAGGGGGCTTTAATTTGGATTGGGCGGTGCCACATTGGAAGTTGATGTCACCTCACTGTGATGGGAGTTGGCGCTTCTTCATGGCTGTGCATAATCAATATGGGCCTAATGTGGCTTTCATTCCAATTGTTTTTTGCTTCACCATTCTCTCAGTTTGCCCAACCATTCTGACACCCAGCGATAGCTCAGGTAAGATATGGAGAAAAGATAAACATCTGAAGCAAAGTAAGGTACAGGACCCATGGGCAGAAGTGGAATAGTGGAGTCAGCTTTGTGTTAATCTAGTGAAAGAACTATCACAGACCCGATGGGTCAAAACGTCTCCTTGCATGCTGACAACCACAATAGTTCTGTATTAAAGCAGAATTTCTCCAAATGCAAATTGAAAACTATTTGCATGCAAGATCCACATCAAGAACATCATTTTAAAGCAACATATGTAGGGATGCAGCCCAGACACTAGTGTCGATCTCTACACCCAACTTAGTCCTAATTAGATTTATTAAAATATCACATTCAAGTCTCATTGATCACTTAAAGATTTTTTTTTTATGTTCACAGGTTGCTGTAAGATACAAACTAGTAGTGGGCTGACTTTCACTTGGACACTGCAGTGCATTGTAAGGCTGGACAGTAAAATTATAATATTTTGATAATGCTTCTAATTTTTATTGTTCCACTACATTGGCCTGAAATAAAATTTTAGGATTTAGCCCCAACTTCTTTTTAAATAGTTTTGTTTGATTTTTTGCTAGTGAAACAATTAATGGCCAAGGCAACTATTTGTGAAGAACTGGTCTTGCTGACTAAAATTGTTTCCGAAGTGATGAACAACCTTCAAGCAACAACTTCATTACATGAGGTGCAAATTCAAGGTCTGTTTGTGAAGAAATAAGCAAAATGTTTGAAGCTAGCAACTTGAACTGCTTATGATACATTATCTTAAACAAGAATCATGTTTTTTAGTAGGTTTCGGGTTACTGTATTGATATATCAACTATATTTGAAAATAAAGCACTTATATTTTAAAAGGCAATCCTGACATTCTGCTAGAGACATAGGTTCTTAATTGCCTTAGCATTTGGAGTGGATGGTTTATGAATGATAATTTTCATTATTAATAAGGGGATGAAACATTACGATACAGATGGCACATTCTTTATAGATACATAGCTGTTAGATAAGTTAATTCCTGGAAAAGGAGGAAAAAGTGATGGAGATTTGTCTCGGCCTATATGACTCTCGTAACAGAGATGGGGGTTACATCAGCTCACTATCATTTTAGGCCAATGAAAGGGGGCAACTCAGACCTTTCCCTAATAAAGGGATGAGCAACTTAGGGAGAATTAAGCAGAAGAATCTGAAGCTTAGCATCTTTGACGTCACAGTCTACCATCGCTTCTGTGGGATAGCTCTAAGACACGGTTCAGTGAACTTGACTTCAGAGAGAGGAGACAGAAAGTCAAGGAATCCTGGCCCTTTCATGTTGTCTTCACAAGTACTTATAAAATCTTGCTTAATAAATGTTTTGAGTCATATTGGTTATCTATACCTTGTTGGGTCAGGCACAACCGAGGACCGTATTGTTACAAATTATTAGGACTTAGATATTTAAGGTATAAGATGTTGAAACCCGAATTCACAAGAAGTGTTTCTTGTACCTACCCAAGACAGTGTATGACTCTGCAGTAAAGCGATCTCTGCTGCTCCGTCCAGATGGCATTCTCTTTGGTGATTGAATGATGCTCCTTAATACAGGAAGATAAAGCTATTATAACCAGAGTCTGGCAGACAGTCTGCTCGATTCGTAGGTGATGTTAGAGCTGTTTTAAGTACCACAAGCAAAACTAATGAGAACTGCATTACAAGACAGGAATCCGTAGAATCAAAACATTCTTTTTACAAAAAAAGAAGAAAATATGGATAATATGATCAAAAATTCAGCCTGTGGCAGAGCAGGTGTAATCCTGTTGTCAACACTTTGTGGTTCAGTAATTGAACTTGGATATTAATAAAGGTTTCCAAATGTGCATATTTCAACTTGGAAGTTGAGGGCAGTTCCACAAAGATGTCAGGGTGTTACAGAAAAGGAACTGACATGTCACCCTAGGTATGAATCAAAGAGAAAATATAAAAAAAAAATGCTTCCTCTGTTTCTGATTTTTCTCTCCTTTCACTTGCAATGACCAGACTCAGGAGGACCCATCTAACCTTGGTTAATTCAAGTCTATCAGGAAGGGAGGAATAGAAAAACATAGTAATGGGGTAGATGAGGAAGAGTGCAAGGAGACCCACATATGGCATAAAGATCAGCATCGACCAATAGCAGCAACAAAGATTAAAATAATGATAGGAGTGCTTATAATTTATATTTCAATATTACTACATGTTTACATAGCGTAATACCAAATTCAAAGAATATGCATAAAATAACTCCCTTTCTGTCCCCTGCTCTGTTACAATCTATTTGCGTTTGTTGCTTTAGAGCACGATGTGTTGCTAGGGTTTAATATGTTGATCAGCTGGAGCTCTTGGCTGCTGGAGATATAGCCCAGCTGCTAATACTTGGGACACCTTCCAATGAAATGGGTCTGTGACACATTCCCACATATCTTGACCCTAGCTGAAGTTTTGTACCTTGCAGGGGAATTTGCCGGCGATGCTGTCCTACTTCGGTTTTCCTTTCCTCGGACTTTGATCTCTTGCACCTTCCCCCCTGATGCATCCCATTCCACACTGTGGTCCTCCACTTTCAAGTTCTGATGGGCTGTTGCAGCATCCAAATTGAAATTAAATGCTATAAAAGACCAATGGCTTTAATTCTCAGTAATAACAACAGAAGCCAAACTCTCTACTGGAAATGAACTGTTGCTCAAAAGCTGATAGAAATAATTTAATGCAAAAGGCTTCATCTTCATAAATTTTCCAATATTTGATATCCCAATATCCTTAAACCACATGCTCATCCTTCACAAAAGAGTCCTATCCACTCTTTAATTGTAGACATTTATTATATTAGTTTCCAAGTATTATCAAATTGAAGTTTCATTCATTTTACAATTGCTCTGTGTTGATCTCGATAAAAAGGTGCTCTTAAAGAGCCTAGCAGATTCTGTGGTAACAGAATACACCCTTCCCAGCAGGAGACCAATGTCTAGAAGGAAAAATGCAGAGGATTAAATTTGCAATTAAGTGACATATGGTATAGTTATAATGGGGAACTTTAATTATCCTAATACAGATTACAACAGTAATAATGTAAAGGATTGAGATGTGGAAAAGTTCCTAGATTACGTTCAGGAGAATTTCTAGACCCATATGCTTCCAGTCCAATGAAGAAATCACTGGATCTGCTTCTGCAGAACGAGTTGGGTAATGTAGATAGAGTGCCAGTGGAAGAACATTTAGGACACAATGATCATCAATTCATTAGGCCTTAGGTCAGCGATGGGAAAAGGCAAGGAGCAAAGATGGTTTCACTGAGGAGGGCCAAATTCAACATCTTGAGAATGGATCTGGCCCAGGTAAAGTGGATTAAGGATTGGTAGGAAAAGCAATAATGTAACAATGGGCTGTCTTTACATTTCCACGAGGGGGAAAGATAGGGTTAAAGAAAACAATCTCAGAGCTCCCAGAACATCTAAGGAGATAGAGTGTCAAATGAAGGAGAAAAAAGTTATATATTACAGATGATCAGACTCTACAGAAAAGGTTTAAAAACACAACAACCCAAAAAAAGCTGAATGTTTTGACAGTGACGGTTAAATTTTGGAAAAAGAGAATTCAATGCAGTTTAAAAACACATGTAGAACAGAAAGCTCTTATAAGTTTCCAATCTGTTAGCTCATTTGAGGGAAAGGTTCTGCCCATTGTTTGTCTCTCCAATTTTCTTGGTACTTTTACATTTTATACCAATATTAACAATTTATGTTAAGAAACACAGGCAACAATACAGCATTGGAAAACACTGATGTAGCTGAAGATGGGGACACTGTGTGGCCTCATGTCAATGTCACTACGGTTACAGGTTCTTCAGATTTCTCTCCCCTTCTCTGAATTCAGAACTGTTTGCCCTTAAATCAAGTATCAACAGGCTTTAGACGCACAAACCTTCTCCCCATTGTGTCCTATTGGATGGACACAACTACAGCAAAAGTTCAAGAACGGCCCTACCCACCTGGCTCTACACCCATCATGATCGATAATAACAATGTAGACTTTGGTATATGGGGCACAATTTCAAAAACGTCAGATGACTCAAAACTTGGAGAAACGCAAGGAGGACGGTGTTAAATTTTTAAAAGCACAGACAGACTGATAGAATGGGCAGGCAGTGGCTGGTGAAATTTAACAACAAGAAGTGTGAAGGGATTCATTTCAGATGGAAGAACATGGAGATGCGTTATGGAAAAAGGGCTCCAATTCTAAAGACCGTGCGAGAGCAGAGGGGCCTGTGAACAAATTGTTGGCAGTGGCAGGACATACTGAGAAAGAAATCTGTAACAGCATATGGGACCCAGAGTTTTGATGTTCAATCCTCACCATCTGAACTGAAATTGGAAGCAGTGTCCTCCTGTAAGTGGAGGAGCAGCAAATCGAGGTGAACAAGAGGATAGCAAATCCATAACAAGTACATGAAAAGTCAATTTAGAATAAACAGCAGTTTTACAAACCACTTGTCTCCAGGGTGATGGGTTCGGAGAACTCTCCAGCCACTGCTTTGTTGCAAGCTTTCACCCGAAAGTTGATAAACTTTGTGTCAAATTTCAACCCTGGAAAAGCATATTGAAAAGAATTTAAGGTCATAAACATTTTGCATTAACAAGCAAGTCAAGCATCTCTAACAACCAAGCTAAGAAATACCCTTCCTCATGTGGAATTCAGTCTGAAAGATGGTGAATCCAAGAAAATCCAGTGTTTGATTTTTGATCTTTGATCTGTATGGAGTTAGCTCATTTCAGCTGAGTTAGAAACGAGAATACAATGGCTCAAAAAGAAGAGAAATGGGAAAAAAATATCAGGCTGCATTGGAATGCTTTTCAAAGATATGTGACACTAATTCAGGGTGAATTATGGCCACATCTCCCAGAGCTCGATCTCAGGTGGCTGTTACCTATTACCTTGGTTCACATACCCTTGATGTTAGAAGTCATGGCATCATAGAGAGCACAGAAACAGACCCTTCAGTCCAAAAGTGCTGTAATTATATCCACCTCCACCACTTCCTCTGACAGCTCATTCCACACATGCACCACCCTTTGCATCTAAAAGTTACTCCTCAGGTTCTCTTTACATCTTTCCCCTCTCACCTTAAACCAATGCCCTCTTTGGAGGGCAAATTATATACCTCCAAAACTTTGAAGCATCTTTTCAAAATCTCCCCTCGCCTGACCGCATCCCAAAACCAGCCCAGCTCGTCCCCGCCTCCCTAACCATTCCTCCCACCTCAAGCCCCACCCCCATCTCCTACCACTAACCTCATCCCACCTCCTTGACCTGTTCATCCTCTCTGGACCGACCTATCCCCTCCCTAACTCCCCACCTACATTCACCTTTACTGGCTCCATCCCCGCCTCTTTGACCTGTCTGTCTCCTCTCCACCTATCTTCTCCTCTATCCATCTTCTGTCCGCCTCCCCCTCTCTCCCTATTTATTTCAGAATCCCCTTCCCCTCTCCCATTTCTGAAGAAGGGTCTCGACCGAAACGTCAACTTTCCTGCTCCTCTGATGCTGCTTGGCCTGCTGTGTTCATCCAGCTCTACACCTTGTTATCTCAGATTCTCCAGCATCGTCAGTTCCTACTATCTCTTCTGTATACTTAAGGTTTAACACCTTTGGATACACACATGACAGAAGCAAATACTAAATAGCATATGAAAGCATCATTCACAAAGCTTTTTTAATGCTAATTGATATTATGGAATCATAGCAGCATAGGTAGAGGTACCATTCAGGCTATCAGGTCTGTACCAGTTCTCTAAGACAGCAAATTATATACCTCCAAACGTCATCATTGATTCTTTTGCCTATTATTTTAATTCTGTGCCCTCTTGCACTCATTTCCTTCCACCAATGGCAACATATCTCCCTGCCTAATGTTATTGTTAATGCCATGTTAATGTTTTTCTCATTGAAAATGGCACCAATATAAGTAATATTAGACTTCATTTGCCAAGAGTCCTTCGGCAATGCTTTACAATACATGCTGATCTCAAGCACACAGCAGGAAAAGGGCATCAGATGCATACCACCACGAAGATATTTCCCTCCAAGTCACCCATCACCTTGACACAGAAGTACATCATCGTTCCTTTTCAAACTCCCTCCCTAACAGTACTGTGTGTACCTACAACACATGGACTCCAGCAACTTAAGGTGACTGATCACTATCTTTCTGAGGGAAGTGCGAAATGGGCAATAATTGCTAGGAAACACAAAAGAAAATGTATAGGAAAAATACAGCATATAGGAACTTAACTATTGGACAAAAAAGGTTTCTACATGTTGACAAAGTTAAAGTTCCACATGGATTTTACCAATTTCCTTTAAAATAGTGTAATATGTAATCATTGTCCTTTCCTTATGTTTAGAAACATACTCATTTGACATTAAAATATAAACTTCCATTTACGCAGCACATTTTTAAATCAAGTTGCCACAGAATGCTTCATGCAATTACTTCTAAAGTGTCCTTACATTTACAATTGAAGCAACCATTTAATTACATGTCACAACCCACAAAGAACAATGGGATGAATAACCTGATAGCCAGGTCCTGGTGACATTGTTTAAGGGAAGGAATATTAGCCAAGAAGCTGGGAAAACTCACTGCTTTATAAATAAAGTCTCTCAATTTTTTACACATCCGTCTGACCTGGCAGGAGGGCTTCAAGGTGGCAATTAATCTGAAGCATAGCATCCCCTCCACTCACCACATTGTTAGCCCATATTATGTGGGGTTTAAGACATTGCCAAGTGAGTTACCATTGAAAGAAAAAGAAAAAATTAGTTGAGGGATGGATGTAATTTCTCAGTCAACAGTGACAGCACCATCATCTCTGAATCAGTGGATCAAGCGATATTCCAGGAATTTGAGCATATTATATGGTGGGTCACTTCAGGGAAGAGCGGAGGTTAGCTGGCATTACCTGACAAGGTAAATTCCTGCTCTTTGATGCCTTCCTTCACCATCCAAGGGTGCTCTTCCTTTAGTCGTGGTGGTCCTTCATAATTGGTTTTGCGATATTCTAGAACATAATGATCGATCTTGCCATCGTCTTCAGGCATTCTCCAGACTACAGTCACACAATTGTCTGCCACCAGGCACTCTGATGCATCGATCTCTGGAATACTTGGTACTGATCACAAAAGTGAAAGAAAAATCAATACATACAAACATTCTTGCATAGACAGACCACTCTCTGGTGCAAATGCTCATTTCATGGAAACTGAGACATTGAATATCAGCACCAAGTTTTATCAGTTTAGCGTATGTAATCACTCGCAGTACATCGTGATTAGGAGTGAGAGACTCTAATCCAGCCAGATTAGGGGCAGTTATAGCAATTAGAGTGGTCACTGTGGCTCTGTTCTACTGGGCAGAATGCTCATCAATTGAGCTTTTCAGTATCTCACTCCAAAATTGGAAGTATATAAGGTACATGGCAAGAGATAGTTCTTGGCAATCAGCTGCCCACTCTGGGAGGAGATCATTTACCATCTGATTTAGAATTCTTTATCACCACAAATGCACAATGCAGAACAAGCATTTCCCATTAACAATGCAACACAGAATCACAGAATCCCTACAGTGTGGAAGCAGGCCATTTGGCCCATTGAGTCCACACTGACCGTCCGAAGAGCATTCCACCCAGACCCACCCCCTCTACCCTATCCCTGCAACCTTGCATTTCCCATGGCCAATCCACCTAACCTGCACATCTTTGGACTGTGGGAGGAAACTGAAGCACCCAGAGTAAACCCATGCAGACACGGGGAGAAGGTGCAAACTCCACACAGACGGTCGGGGTGAGGTGGCAGTGCTAACCACTGAGCCGTCCAACAGGCAATTTTATTAACAGGTACTGGTAGCTGGAGAATATGCAGGTTCAGGTAAGAAAAACATTGGCTCAATTTTGCTCCGTTAATCAAAGCTAATCAACTCAATGTTCTTATGTGCCTTAAGAGGGTAACCTGGTAATGTGCTCTTATATTTCTGCCGATATTATTTGGTGTTATGCAAGAGCAGAACAGATTGGTGTTTCCCCATCTTCCTTTTGTCCAAAAGTGCTTGCTTAAAATGATGAATTGCAGAAATAAGCACAGATGAAGGATTCTATTTAGCCATGTAACTTGCTACCCCCATCATCCCCACCCTTTGTGACAGTATCTAATTAACTCTCGGAGAAGTTGAAAGTTTGCACCTAGAAGACAACTTAGATAAGGCTGTGAACTTACCAAAAGAAACTACGGCTTGGGAAAAGGAAACACGCATGCCATTTCTATTTTATTTTCTTACCTGGCAAGAACTTGAGTGAACGAAGGATCTTTTGTTCTTGGGAAAAGTCGACCATCAGATGACTCATAGTGTCACTGGCTTTAGCTTTTAAGGACAGCCTGAATGCTGGTGCCATGGTAACACTGTATAACAAAGCCAAGAACTAGCATTACATTTGGCTTTCCTTCTAAAACCATTTAAAAATGGGTGAAATTGTCGATAAAAATGGATTTTAACTTTGCCTTGAAGGGCCATGCTTCTAATGGAAGCCTAAAACAGATACAGCAACTCACTACTAAACCACAAATCTCTCCCTAGCCCTTTACAAACATGTTACTTTATCCCTTGGCTCAAAATATATAGAATGAACAAAGGCCGTCATGCCTTCTACATCTTGTATTCCATCTACTCGCTAACTTATTATCTATACTATTTTTATCATTTGCTCAGGAGATGTGGATGTTGCTGGCTACACCAGCATTTAGTCTCCGCTCCAATTGCCCAGACTGCAGTTAAAAATCAAATCACATTGCTACGGATTTGGAGTCACATGTAGACCAGACCAGGTAAGAATTGAAGATTTCCTTCCCTAAAGGACATTAGTGAACCAGATATTTTCCTGCTGTAATTGACAGTGGTTACCATTAGACTATCTTTTTATTCCAGATTTTTTTCTTTATTGAATTGAAAGTTCACCATCAGCCACGATGGGATTTGAACCTGCATCCTCAAAACATTAGACGGAGATGCTAGATTACTACTCCAGTGGCATTATCATTACAGTACCGTTTAATTTGTTTCCACAAGTTATTATACAGTCTACTGCATTACAAACTTGACCTCAGGAACATGAATGGGTTATCAATCACATTCAGTAACCTTGCATCTGACCTGCTGCCTTCCAAAAGCCATTCATTCACTTGGGACTCTAATGACCGCTGTGTCCTGTATTCAATTAGTTTAGTTTATACAAATCAGTAATTATCAGATGTTTATAAAAACCTGTTATTAGAAAGGATTTGCAAACTTCAAAAGAATTCATTTGGAAGTTTTGGGAGGGCTGGAAATGGGCTGGTTTAGGCAAAGGGGAGGAAAAGTAGTTAAAAATGAACACTCAAAAAATGTTTGGATGTGGCGAGATTGTAGGTTATTCTGTTGCGCTGGAATGTCTTACTTTAAGTTCTGCAAATCAGGCTACAAACACAGTTGATCAACTATTTGACCAGGGGTTGGAAAAAAAGATGAAAGATATATAATTGGTGAGTAACGCTTGTATATCGAGCTGAAATCATTTAGCTTGCTATGGCATAAAATTTAGAGTTAACAAAAATATATCAAAATCTATGTTTAAAACAAAAACAAACCCTGCACTTCTTCATATGTAGAATTTCAGCTTGGGGTCACAAAAAGTATTAGGTGGGACCCACGAAACAAACTTAATGACAGAGGCAGTTAATTATTAATGCAGGAGTGGAAATGGTCATATTTAAGCTAATATTTGAGACTGTTAAATAGAAATAAAACCAGAAAATGTCATATTTTCTCAAATGCAGAGGGCATAGGTTCGAGGAGGGAGGGGAAAGATTTAAAAGGGACCTAAAATGCAACATTTTCCATATAGGGTGGGGCGCATATGAAGTGAGCCACGACAGGAAGTGGTGGACGCTAGTATAATTACAACATTTAAAAGGCATCTGGCTGGGTATATGAATAGGAAGGGGTTAGAGGGATGTGGGCCATATGCTGGCAAATGGGACTAGACTTATATAGGATATCTGGTCGGCATGGACAAGTTGGACTGAAGGGTCTGTTTCTGAGCTGTAGGTCTCTGACTCTATAATTGACTGTCACGGTGACAAGATGCTACAGGACCTGCTGAGTGCGTGCATGTGCTTGTGCGTGTGCGAGAGAGAGAAGTAAGAGTTCATGTTTCAGGACATGACCTTTCATCAAAATGCCCTGAATGTAGCAACCGGAATATGTTGGGCTGCATTTCCTTGAAGAATGGCTCTCACACAGATTGCCACCCTTACCCTTTTTTGATGAAATGAAAGAGCCCTGCATTTCTGACAGGAGATTCCAATCAGGGCTTCTTCACAAACACGGAGATGTGCTCACGTTCCGACAGGTCCTTCATAGTGTAAAACAGTCAGGGGAAAGTGACCATGTCCCCTTTTTGTTTTAACAACAGCCAGTTGTTAAGTTCTGAAATTTAAAACAGGTCCAGAATCACAGAGAGCTGCTTTGAGCTCCTGTGTAACACTAAGTACATAGGGCAGGTCTAAGTTTAGGATGCCAGGGTGCAAAAGGGCCAGATTTGTCAGGGAGTGTTGAGGACAGATCAGAGTAGGGAGGGGGTTAACGAACAGGTTTGACAGAGGGTATAGGGGTGTTGGACTCCAATTCACTCCTGCCTCACAGCATCAGGAACCCGGGTTCGATTCCACCCTCAGGCAACTGTCTGTGTGGAGTTTGCACATTCTCCCCATGTTTGCGTGGGTTTCCTCTGGATGCTCCGCTTTCCTCCCAAGTCCAAAGATGTGCAGGCTAGGTGGATTGGCCATGCTAAGTTGCCCATAGTGTGCAGGGATGTGCAGGCTAGATGAATTACTGACAGGAAATGAGGGTTACAGGTGGTCTGGATGCAATGCTTTTTGGAAGGTCGGTGTGGGCTTGATGGGCAGAGCAGCCTGGTTCCACACTGTAGGGATTCTATGAACTGCAGCAGAAGCCTCTGTTTTAAATGGATACTATCGGAAGGTTCCAAGTGTAATAGAAATGCACGGTGGAATCTTTGGTTTCCTGAGCAATTTCTTTGGCAGATGCTATGATGGGGATCGTGCAGGGTGAACTTCCATTTATGCTCCAGAAATGATCATCTGGCGATCGGAAAAATCCAGGTCATTATAATTCTTTTCTCTCCATATTGCTAACAGACCAAGTGTTTTCAGCATTTTCTGTTTCTATTTCAGATTTCCAGCAGCCTCAGTATTTTGTTTTTCTACTATGAAAGGAAGCTTGGTTCTAGATATAGCAGTGTTATATTTAACATGGTTTGCCTAATGGCAGTACTGGATAATGGAATCATATGAAATGAACATCTTTCATCTTAGTGATACATTTTGTTTTCACTTCTATCCCCTCTCTCAATTACAATATTTTTGTACCTTATTTTTCTTTCAACCTTCCACTCTTCTCAGACACATCATAATTACCTTCCTTCTCCTTGACTTTGAAATCAAGGCATCCTACTTTACATCACCTGTTCTCTCCCCAAAAAGGTCACAAAAACTGTTAACTTTTTAAAACCCTGTTAAATTGATTTCAAATGCAATTTTTAATTAAAAGCTCATGCACTCACAATGTTATACAATTGTTATACCTTTTTTGCACAAATACACTGCAATGGAGTTCATGTAAATCAACCAGAAGAGAGACGGATTCCACATACTAAAGGATTCTTACCGAAATCTGCTCCATAAACTGTGTACAACTGTATGTCCACTCCTGCCGGATACAGCCCTTTTACTAACCATCACCTGTGCAATATCAGGGGAGCTTTATTGTGCCAATAATAAAAACACAAGTGCACAGAGTTTAAGTCTGGATTCCACACATACTGATACCCAGTTGTAGTAATTGTAGCCATTGGACTCCAGGGGAAAATTCAAAATGCTTCTGAGATCTTCTAAATGTTAGTTGTGCATCAATTGCAAAAGTAAACCCAAATTCCAGATTCCGTTCACAAATAAAAAAACACAAAGTGCTGGTGGAGCTCAGCAATCTGACAGTATCTGTGTGAAGAAAGCAGAGTTAACTTTTAGAATCCAGTGACTCTTCATCAGAATCGGACTCAAAACATTAACTCTGCTTTCTCTCCATAGATGCTTCCACACCTGCTGAGCTCTGCCAGAACTTTGTTTTCATTTCAGATCTTCAGTACCTGCAGTTCTTAGCTTATTCCGGATTCTTTTTGGGTGAACAATATTGAAAATATAATGGTTCATTCCTGAATTCAGTTAAACTCAAGAAGAAACTATTTTACGGTTTTTTTTAAAATGGTTATACAACACTATACCAAGGGCCAAAAAGGTAGAGTTGTGAGGAAAGGTTAAAACAACAGGCTTGACAGCATTTGTGAAGAAAAAAAAAAAATCAGAGTTAACGTTTTGGGTCCAGTGCAGTTCTGAGGAAGGGTCACTGGGCCGGAAACATTAACTCTGATTTTTTTCTCCACAGATGTTGCCAGACCTGCTGAGCTTTTCCAGCAACTCCTGTGTTTGTTCCTGATTTACAACATCCGCAGTTCTTTCAGTTTTTAAAAAAAGGCTTGTACATCCTTGGATATAGAAGATTAATGACGATCTAATTGAGGCTTATAATGATTAAAAGGATCTGTTCAGGCAGAGGGAAACCATTTGCTGTGTCGTGGGAGTTCAGAATAAAATTATATTTTGAGTGAGGTCATTCAGGGGTGATGCTAGGAACTATTTCCTTCCAAAAAAGGCATAATGTACATGTTGCTGTCGAAAAGCAGTTGAAGCTAGGTCAATCGAACACTTCAAAAATGAAACTGACATATTTTTATTGGGTAAGGGTATTAACAGTACCAAGATAGGTAGGTGAGGTTAAGACAGAATACCATGACTCTAACTGAATGGTAAAATAAGCAGATGGGTCGAGTGACCTACACCCACGCGTAAATAATTAGCTAGGGGTCCACAAAAGCAATGTTATCTTTAAAATAACAATTAGTGCATTTGGCTCCATTTTGGAATTACTGACTTTGAATCATCCTGCCTAAATGAAAGAGAGTGATTTGGGAGTAACTTCATCGTCACCACAGCTAAACGGTGCAGAGGAACTCAACAGTTTGTCTCAGGTCAAATCTCAACTTCCATTAAAGTGAATAATTTCTGCAAGCTGCACCCACAGAATCACCACAGTGCAGGAGGAGGCCAGTCGGCCCATCGTGCCGGAACTAGTTCTATTACCTGGTGCTGATCTGTTCCCTTTCTTCATATCTCTGCACGCTATTTCCATGCTATTAATCATCCAATGCCCTTCTTGAATTCCTCAATCAATCCTGCCTCCACCACATCTTCAGGCAGTGCATCCCATACACTAACTATATGCTGTGTGAGAACATTTTTTTCTAATATTACCCTTGCTTCGTTTGCATTTTTAAATCCACACCCTCTCATCTTTTACAAATGGGGACAGTTTGTCCTTATTTACTCTGTCCAGTCTAACCCTATCCATCATTTTGAAAATCTCTACCAAATCTCCTTTCTGCCTTTTGCTCCGCAAGGGGAACAGCCCCAACTTCTTCAATCTATCCTCACAATTGGTGTTTCGTATTTCTGGAACCATTCTTGTAAATTCCTTCCTTACTCCCATTCACATAACATCATGGAAAATAATTGTAAACGGCAGGTTGTCATCAGCAGGAGGAAGGTTTGGTGCAAATAGGTCTACCCTAATCTGGCCTCGACTGGAGAACCATGCCCAATTCTGGCGATCATACGTTGGAAGGCTACGGTGGCTGCAGAGAGGGCATAGAAAAGATTAAGAAACTAGTTCCAGGGATGGAAGATTGTAGAAACTGGGATGGATTGAAGAAGCTGGGCGTGTCAAGAGGAGATTCAATAGAGATGCTCCAAACCAGGAGTGGTCTGGACATAGCAGAGAGATCGAGAAGCAGAGCATGCAGATTTAAGGCTATTGGTAAGAACAACCAGGAGACACAAATACAATCTTTTTGATGGAGAGAGCTGTTAGGGTCTGCAGATCCTATCATGCAATTTCCTTTAAACATCACATTTACCTGAACAGAAAATATTTGCAGGCCTACGTGGAAAATTGCAAGCTGGATTCACTAAATTGCTCTTGTCAAGAGCCAGCATACACACAATGGGCCAAATGGTCTCCTCCCGAGTTGTAAACATGCTATGATTCTACAAATAGATCAAAACAATTTTCCTTCTGTACATCGGCATTGTTATGGCTGGGCATTTATGAATATTAGAACACTATTCTCCACTGTCTGCAGACTGTCCACCTCCATTAAAGCATTATTACTAAATTGGAGAGGGTTCAGAAGAGATTTACCAGGATGTTGCCAGGAATGGAAGGTTTGAGCTATAAAAGGAGAGGCTGAGACTTTCCCGCCCCACATCCACTCCCCCACTCCCCCACCGCCCCCCACTGCCCCCCGCCGCCCCCCCACCGCCCCCCACCACAGGAGCTTAGGAATTGAGGGGGTGATCTTATCCAGGTTTATAAATCATAAGGGGTATACATAGGGTGAATGGCAGGTGTTTTTTCCCTTGGGTGGGTAATTTCAAGACTGGGGGTATATTTTTTAAAAATAAAGAATAGAAAGATTAAAAACAAAAGACATGAGGCACATTTTGTTTTGAAAAGCAGTGGTTCATTGTGTGAAATGAACTTCCAGAGGAAGCGGTGGATGCAGGCACAGCTACAACGTTTGGAAGAAATTTGGATAAGTACATGAATAAGAAATGTTTGAAGGGATATGGGCCATGTGCAGGCAGGTGGGACTAGTTTAGTTTGGGATTATGGTCAGCATGGACTGATTGGATTGAAAGGTCTGTTTCCATGCTGTATGACTCAATGACACTATTAGTGAAAGAGGCTTTGTGCGCATGCCAACATCCTAAGAAGTTAGATGTACTGCAAACACTAACAGTTCAAACTAATTACTTACTCTAGCTTGTAGTCATTGATCCACATTGAAATTGTCATTACAGAGGTGTTCAACTCATAATATGATTCAACACCATTTTCCTAGGGCTTCAAATTCTCAATTAGAGCCAGACAATTTACTTTCAGCTGTTGGCAGCAAATCAGTGTTTTAATAATTAAAAAATAGTCAAATATTCATTGTTAGGGGGTAATGTCTAATGTATCATTCCCTGCCAAATTAGAACTGAGATTTTTGAGGAGGCTAAGTCGAACTGTTTAGGGAACACAGGATTCATGTTATGGTTCAATTGCTTGATAAAATAAAGTTTGCGAGGAGGAAAATGCTTGTTTCCAGTTAAAGAACAGTGGAATGCAATATTGAGCGACTGCTTTACTTCTGTAACAAGCAACATCCGAACTTTACTAACAACCTGAAAATGGGTTTACTTCTAGAATAGGCAAAAATTGAGGTAAAAGTTTAGTAAGTATTGCAAAACTAGTTGAAGATTCATGCAGTCCTTAATGCAGGTTAGATTGATACAAACATGCAGTGAAATCAAAAAGGTATTTTACAGTACCTATCTTTAATCTGCTTGGCAGCCTTTGAAGCAGAAAAGAAGAGACAGAAAGTCAAACATGCAAATAAGCACAACTATTCAAATTGCTATTAAGCAAATGTTTTTTATATTGCTGTCAGATAAACCAGCCACGAGCCACTTCCACATAGCCTACCTGAAGTACAGGAGCTAAATCTTTTGGAATTAAAGTGATTATATCTCTTGCTGCAGATGTAAAGAGCATTCAAACAGACAGTAAAGCAACAATAAATGTAGAACTCCATCCTGTGCACACAGTTGCCCCACAACCCAGAGAAATTAGTTCACAACCTTGGTTAATTTCCAGATTGACCAGTTTATTTCAGCGCATTGCCACTTGGAAACAAACCACTATTTCAAACTATAAATCTCCTCAAATAGCAAGACTAGACTTACTAATAAAAACATCATTCAAAAAATACTGAAAGCGTTGAACGTATTCATTCTGTTTGCATATTGTCCATTTCCCCACCCTCGTTCTTTTCCCTTCCCAATTCTCTCAGTCCCATGTCTTAAGCAGTTTTCAAATCAATCTTTAACACATCATTACAAAAGGCATCAAGAGACCTTCTCTAAGCCTTTACAATTAGAGGAATCTTAAAAAGGAAACATAACTGCTTCGTGTCTTATAGACAATAATATAGACACATGCACCCTAAAAGTATCACAGGATTTACAACTTATATTGCAAAAAAAAACAGACATGAATCTTTTACTTTGAATAAAACAAAACCAAAAGAATCCCAAATGCTCTGTTGTTAAATGCACTGTGCAACAAGAACAGAACTAATCAGACAAGGAAGATTTGATGTTTGGGTCAATTGCTTACAGCCAGATGTGAGTTTAGGTTTTATAATTAGCCTTTAGCAATTCAAGGCTGTGGACTGAAAAATAAAAAGAGCATCAGTCTTCATTGTGATTTTTAAAAAGTTTTTTCCCTGGGTTTGGGCATTGTTGGCCAAGCCAGCATTTATTGCCCATCCCTAATTGCCCAGAGAGCAGTTAACAGTAATGTTGCTTAGAGTCTGAAGTCGCATATAGGTCAGACCAAGTAAGGACAGCAGATTTCCGTCCCTAAAGGGCAGGAGTGAACCAGATAGGTTTTTATGACAAATGAACAGTGGTTATTTAGAGGCCATTAGACTACATGCCACTAATTCCTGATTTTTTTTATTGAAATAAAATTCCATTAGCTGCCGCTGTGGATTTCGAACCCATGTCTCTGGATGACTGGTCCAGTGACATTATCACCGCTAATGCTACCCTGAATCATTATCGGATGAGTGCTACTGGAAAAGTGACATGTTTGAATACTTGCCAAGAAAAGGTTCAGGCATGATTGTAATGTCCCATCATTGAAAAGTCTTAGTGATGTCATTTAGGTTCATGTGAAAACAGGGCAGGTACAGCAAACGACCAGTCAAGCCCATATCCTCAACAAGGGTCAGAAGCAGGGAAAGCGATACAGTACAGAAGAATGTTATTGAGGTGCAGTTGTAGTGTCCCTCCCTCTGAGTTAGAAGGCCTGGATTCAAGTCCAACCCATTCCTGGTATGTAGTAACATCTCTGAACATGTTGATTAGAAAATATCTACAGTACAGAAGTCCAACATCGCTAGCTGACTGAACTGTTGAGTATTGGAAATAAACCGCAATTCAAAAAGATGCAGTCATTTTCCACTTTAGCTCATTGAACAAACCGGGGTCCTTTGTAATTAATTTCCCTGCATTCTTCTACTCAATTATATTCTCTTTTCCCCTGGCTGTGTTGAGGGGATTCAGGTAAATTAGGAATTTAATATCGGTTAACACAATTATCTAGGAATATCACTTCTCTAACAGCTATAGTTCACAAGACTTATTAGGAACCATGCAAACATTTATTAAAGAAAGGATAAACTGGGGAGGGGTGGAAATAACTACCTGGTTGATTCCATCAGAGTTCGCAGTGTCCAGAGTCTGGTTAGCAAACTCAAGCAGCTCCTCTGAACTCTCCAAAGCCTTTGTGCAGACAGTCAGCTGATTCTACAAGAAGAGGATGTGGAGTAATCATTAATGCTGGGATCACTGATGAAAGTGGTAAGCTTTAGCGACTCAGTAGGTCAGAAGTGTGTTGGTCAGAGTCTAAATGAAGAGGCAAAGTAGGCAATTTAAGTTGGAAAAGAATGGAATTAGTTGAAGAAAAACACTAAAAAAGAGTTGATTGAGCACAATACCTGTAGATTAGTGGATTGGAGGATCAAACTTTGAGGTCTTGAAAGTGAATTATAATAGATGACAAAGTAACGAGACAAGTTTGGATGCAAAGAAGAGAAAGAGAACGGACAGAATATTTGGAGTTTCGAACAAACAAGGGAGACAAAGTCCAGCGAAAACACAAGCTGCAGATTAAGATAACCAAAGTTATCTTAAGCAAAGAAAGATCATCTGTGTTCGTCCTTCTTAATTTAAACCACTCTAAGGCTTCAGTACATCTGTGGTTTGACCGAACAGTCTTCCTCTTAGAAAGGCCAGTCAGAACATGATACCAATTTAACAAAACTTGTATGTGCCAAGATTATTTAAAGTCAACACCCAACTCACTTCAGGGCCGCCTGCAGTAATGCTATGCTCTGAACTGAGATGACATGGATACATATGCAGATTCCCACACGACGGCCTGAATAGAAGTCAAGCATTGAGATTCTGTAGTTTAGTCCAGTCTTTCACTTCTAGCAATGCTGCTATTTCCAGTATCCATAAAACATACACCTTTCCTTTCCTACTGCACAGCAAGAGAAAAGAAGAAGTTGATAGTCAACCTGAAATCTACAGAAAAGTCTGTTTCTGGCTGAAAAACAAAACCCCAGAAAGGACTTGGAAACTTCAACACAAAAAGCATTTTGGTCCCCATTTCCTTCAAAACGGACAAAACAATACATATTAAGCATTAATTTGGCTCAGTGTTAGCATTTTTCCCTTTGATTTAGAAGAGAATGGATCCAAACACCAGTCCAAAGTCCTGAGTGCTTAACCCAAGCTAACACTTCAGTGCAGTAGTGGGTAGATACTCCATTGTTAAAAGGCCATCTTCCCAACGAGATAATAAATGGCAGGCTGTCTGCTGTAGTGTGGAATTTCATAATCCACTATCTGGTGAGCATCAGCGGTGACTTCTTGGTGTCCTGGTTAATATTCATCCATCATCCAACATGCTCATGTGGTGATTTTTGGTCTTTGGGTTAAAACGAGTTGACAGTTTCCTGATCCAAAAATTAATTAATAGTTTGTGAAGCCCTTTGGATGTTCTAAGGATATGACAGCACAATGCAAGTACAATAACCTCTACCTTGGATCCAGCTTCCTTTCTGTTGTCCAACTATTTGTTTTTCCTCTCTCTATTCTTATCAGCATTCCTTTTTTTTCAGCTCAGTAACAAATGCAGTGTCAAAAACAGCACATTCAGTTGGTTACAATACACTTGTTACTATTGTCCTTAACGGGTCATAGACATTGTAAACACATAGTCAAAGTTTAGCCCATAAGCATTTGTGTGGCGTTATGGATGGTCACCCGTAAATACACGAGTTGGCAGGTTTAAGGTGCACTCTAAAGCTGGAACACAATGAACGTAAAAGCTGACACTGCAGTGCAGCACTGAGGGAGTTCTGTATGATCAGGGTGAAAACTTTCAGATGAGATGTTAAACTGAGGACCCATCTACCTACTCTGATAAATGTAAAATGAATCTATATCACTATTTCAAAGAAAAGTAGGGGAGTTATTTGCATCCAAGCCAATATTTATCCTTCATTCAACATTACAAAAGAAATCTTGTTACTACACAGCTGTTTGTAACAGTTTGCTATGTACAAAATTTGCTGTGGCATTTCCTACGTTACAACATTGACAGTCCTTTAACAATTACTTTATGCCTGTAAAGTAGTTTGAGATGACCAGTGGTCCTGAAAGTTCTCTATAAATGTAAGTATTTCTTTGTCATCTTGAAATATCTTGGCACAGATCCAATAGCTTAAACTACAGATAGCATTTACTCCAATAGATATCCTTGCTAGGTGCTTTGCTGGGATGACAGAACCTACCTGCAGTTCGTATGTTTTTCTGGCTCGTTCTTGCTTGATCTTCGTTATCATGTCTTCCTTCATCTCATCCAGTATGGCATACAGTGAACTGTACTCTGCTTCCAGGTCTGCAAGAGCTCTCTCAGAATTAGCCTTAGAAAAGTAAGGAGGTGGCAAGAAACCAAATCAGAATGAGGCATAAAACAGTGTTCAATTTGCTATTTCCAGCAAAAGAATCTATTTGGACTTACATAGAGATACAAATATTTTGCAAAATAAACAAAGAATAGAAAAAGGCAAAACATCACGAGCAACGAAAGATGTACGCAAACAGTGTTTCACTCTAAATTTTGAGCTCCCAAGCCTTCTCCCTTCATGTACAACACAAAATGTAGAAAGACAGAATCTGTTGGGTACTTTTCTACCATTCAGGTGAACATAATGTGAAAATGTCATATATTCACATTTTTGAAACAATGTCATGTTAAAGCTGCCTTTGCAGCATATTAAGCTTCCCAATATGCTTTGCATCATGGCTTATTTGCCAATTATCACAGAATGACAAATCATTGAAAAAGTTTAGGTGATGCCACATCCAAAATGTGGAAAGGTAACACCAAGGAAAATCATCTCTCTATTAGGTAACATAGGCAGTTCAAAATGTTGATTGGTTTATTATTGTCACATGAAATGAGATACAGTGAGAAGTGCTGTTTTGCATATCAGGCATATGAAAGTGCATCAGGGTGGCAGAACAGAATGTGAAATACAGTGCAGAGAAGGTGCACAGAGAAAGCATGGGAGAGAGAGTGACTGTGGCACAGTGTCCACTACTACAGATATCGGATTGTTGTCTGCAAATAATTGTAGAATCAGCTCAGCAACAGAAAAAGGTTACAATGCAGAACCTGGAACAAAAACAAATAAAGCTGGTGAAGGAATAAGCAAGACAGAAAGAATAACAGCATCTGTCATAAGGAAAACATTAGAAGCTGCTAAAATGTCTTCAATAACAGGGCATATGGATAAGTTGAAGGTAATCAGGTAGAGCCAACGTGGTTTTGTCAAAGGAAAATTGAGTTGAATTAATTTATCAGAGCTCTTTGAAGAAGTAACTGGTCTGGATAAGGGGAAAACCAGAGGATGTACTGTGCTTAGATATCCAGAACCTTTTGCCACAAAGACTATTGTGGAAAATAAAAGCTCATGGTGATTGGCTGACTAACATGAAGCAGAGAGTCGGAATAAATGGGTCTCTCATGCTGACACAATATCACACATGGTACGGGGTCAGTGCTGGGAGCTCAACTCTTTACAATTTATGTGAATGATTTGGGCGAAGGGAGCAAAAGATATGGTAGCTAAATTTGCTGATGGTAAAGATAGGTAGGAAAGTGGCCTGTGAAGAGGACTTAAAGGACCCTGTAAAAGGGTAAGATTTGTTAAAAGTTGCTGGGCAAAGATCTGACAAATGGAGTAAAATGTGGCAAACTGTAGAACTACCAATTTTGGCATAAAGAATTTAAAAAAATATTATCTAAGTGATGAGAGGATGCAGAGAGATCTGGATGTCCTAGTGCATTAGGACGGTGCAGCAGGTTTGTATGCAGGTGTAGCAAGTAATCATGAAAGCTAATGGAATGGTATGTTTTCCTGTGGTGGGGAGGTGGGGGGAATTGAATGTAAGAGTAGGGAGGTTATGCTTCAGTTATACAAGACATTGGTGAGACTGCACCCAGAGTACCATGTACAGTACTGGTTACTGTACTTACAGAAGGACATTAATGTATTGGAAGCAGAGAAGGTTTGCAAGACTAATACCTGGAAAGAGCAGATCGCCTTATGAGGAAAGGCTAGACTGGCTAGGTCTGTATCCTCCAGTGTTTAGAAGAGTCAGAAGTGACTCACTGGAAACATACAAGATACTGAAGAGACTTGATCGGAATGATGCTTCCTTTAGGTGTCATAGTTTAAAAGAAAGGGGCACCCATTTGAGACAGAGGTGAGGAAACGTTCTCTTTCAGAGGATTAAGAGTCTTTAGAATTCCCTTCCTCAAAAGGCAGTGGATGCAGAATTTTTAGATATTTTTAAGGCAGAGGTTGATAGATTACCAGAGGGGTAGGTTATGCAGGAATGTAGAGTTTAGGTTAAAATCAGATCAAAAATGATCTTAATCGATGGTGGAGCAGGCTCGAAGGGCCGAGTGGCCTACTCTTGTTCCTTGTTTGTACGTTTGTATTCAAGGTGGTCAGATTGCTGAAAAGGTGAAAGGATCAAATATTCTGGAGTGCTCTGTTAGAATGGCAGAAATGCATATTCAAATGTATACTCGAAAATGCCAGTTTAGTTCACTTGGTAACACTTAACAGAGAGTTCAAGCACCACTCCAAAACCTTAGGAAATAAATGTTGGCTAACACTTCACTACAGTACTGATGGAGTACTTCATTACCAAAGGCACTGCTTTGGTGTTTCAGGCGATATTAAAGTACCCCTGGATCTATTCATACTAGTTCTCCAACACCTATAGGAATGTTCCCCTTCAATTAGATCAAAAGTGAATTTTTGTGAATAGAACCACATTGGCCTGGAAAGCAGCAAGGTTTGGAAAAGGTCAATATTGCCATTCATAGTGTATGATTTGGAAGAAAGGTACCTCATTTCGAAATGATACTAAACCGAGAGACGGGGAGGGACTTCAAGCAGCAGTGCAATAGGCACAAACATAAAAGCAGGATCAGACACAAAAAGTGAAAAGACTACAGAAGCTGGGAATCTGAAATGAAAGCCAAAATTGCTGGAAATGATTAACAAGTCTGGTAGCATGTGAAGAGAAAAACAGAGTTAGCATTTAAAATTATGACAACGAAAGCTCACAGACATGAAACGTTCACTGTTTTCCTCTCTTCACAGGCAATGCCAGAGCTGACCACTTCCATGCATTATAGTCATACAGCACGTAAATAGACCCTTCAGTCCAACCAGTCCATGCTGACCACAATCCCAAAGTAAACTAGTCCCATCTGCCTGCGCTTGGCCCATATCCCTTCAAACATTTCTTATTCTTATACAAGGATCGAGATATTAATAGTGGGGTTCAGTGAGTGATAAGTGACACTTGTTACGGATAAATCAGGATAACAAGAGTGGAGAAAGAAAACAAATAGTAGGGATATTAAATTAACTTGCTCTGAACTATATGGTACAAGGCAAAAGCCACTTAGTAAAATGAACAGTGTACAGTGCTGTAACATTAAAGGAAAGACAAACAAATCTATAGCTAAGGGATGTAGTGTAGGTTCCAAGAGATTACAAGGATTCTGCATAACAGAACTGGTAAGGCCTTAGCTAAAGTATTTGATACAGTTCTGGTTACCATGCTACAATAAGGATATTCAAGTTTTTGGGTAGAGTAGGAAAAGAAAGGGCACCTGACCTAGAAGAGGATGTATAGATTGGTACCTGTTTCATGCTGTCAAAGACTTAGAGAGGTGTATATCCAACATGAGGATATATTACAAAGACTATGAAGAGAGGTTGAGTAGATTAGGATTATTTACATTAGAAAGACAGAGGTTGAGGGGGGACCTGATTGAGGTCTACAAAATCATGAGAGGTATAGACAGGGGGGTCATGATTTCAAGGTGAGAGGGGAAAAGTTTAAGGGAGATATGTGTGGAAAGTTCTTTACGCAGAGGTTGGTGGGTGCCTGGAATGCGTTGCCAGCGGAGATGGTAATGGCAGGTACGATAGCGTCATTTAAGATGTATCTAGACAGATACACAAATGGGCAGGGAGCAGAGGGATACAGATCCTTGGAAAATAGGTGACAGGTTTAGATAGAGGATCTGGATTGGCGCAGGCTTGGAGGGCCGAAGGGCCTGTTCCCGTGCTGTAATGTTCTTTGTTCTTTGTTCTAGATAAACCAAGATTCTAAAGAGGCTAGGTAGATTGATAATCAATATTAATGAATTCAAAAAGATTCTAGGACCAATGGACATGGCTCAAGCTTAGAGGGAATATGTACAAATAATTTAGACTTAATTACTTTTCCACAGAGGATGCCAAATGTATGGAATGGACAGACTCAGGAAGCTGGTAATACTTTGAAATATTTACCCATTTCTCTTGCACCAAGCTAGCTCTTAACTCAGATTCAGGTGATTATGGGTTCAAGCTTCATGCTAAAGGCTGGAGGTGCTTAATCCAGATAAATACTTCATTTGCTCCACTAAAGGAACGTGAGGAAGAGCTCAAGTCACAACAGTAGCCATTGGCTCTAAGAGGTCATAGGAAACAAGCGTGAATAGGCCATTAAAACCATCCAGGCTGCTCCTCTATTCAACTAGACCACAGCTGTTTTTCACTAATTTCCCCACACTAGCCCCTTTTAATCTTGATATCTTTAATAACCAGAAATCCAGATCCACTTCTGGTGGTATCTGAGCCAGTTATACGGCATCAGCTGAAGCTGCTGAACAGATTCATATCAAACTGAAAACCGCTTTTCCAGCTGTGAGTTTTTTAATAAATTCCTTCAGCGCAATATGAGGATATATTACAAGGCTGGCAGTGCCGTCTTTTGGATGTGGGACTGACCAAAGGTTGAGTCAGAACAAAAAGTAAATTGTAGCAAACAGAAGCCTTGGCTAAGACCAATTAACTTGGCACAGACTGGAGACTATAACTAGAGACAAGATTAACTGTGTAGAGCTTGGTCACAACAAAGTTAAAACGCTTTAATTAAAAAAAAGAAAAAAGCCTTTGTTGTAGCTTTCTGACAGATGGCAGGATCATTCCAGCACCCGTCAATTTAATATTGCTTACATTTTTATAACATGGAAGACTACTGGCACATTACTGGTCTCATGAGAACAGAATCAGGGACTGACACCAGTAGGCACATGAAGCCTGAAATTCAGCAACATTAACATTCATCATTCTGCCTGGGATCACAGTCATTAATCTACTCAATCCCCATGGTAGAATAAGCAGTGAACACAACATGCTTGGTCGAATGTGAATTTCAATTAAATTTACAATGATTTTCTAAATATTCTTCCCTTCTCTTCTGAAGGTGCTGTGATTTATTTTTAAAATGTTGCAGTATTTGATTTCAGCTTTAAGATATTAAGATACACTGACCAGCTGAATCCAGTTAAGTTTCAGCCAGACCTTCATCCAGCTTATGCTTCAATCAGGGCCATTACAGTACAAGACTATGCCAAACATTTGGAAGATATCCTGAAGCCTCTTGCCACCATATCATTGGTCTCTCGGGTACAGTTCCATTCTCCAGTGCCTTATCCAAATGACTTTCGACATGTACAAGCCCAATCTGCAAGGCTGACAGACTAATCATCAACAGCAAGCAAAATAGTAGATGCTAATCCAGCCCTCAGTGTCCCAACAACAGGCCAGTATAATGATGATGAACAGCAGGTGACAAGGTAATCCTCCACTACCCAACTGCTACTCATCCAGAGGCACAGACACTAATCGTGGAGCACCAGTAGTGCTCCATCACAGATCGAACCTAGTTTAGGCCAAGGATCAAGCCAGAAGCCTTGCTCATTCATGCAGCTTAGCGCAAAACTTGCCGTGTTTGCTCACTAAGAGAAAGGGTTATTTGTAGCCCATCTTCCTGTTGGCCCTTGTGGAATAGAAAAGTAAAAGCTGTTTTTACATTATAGCAAGTCCCATGCTTATGGTGTTGGCTCCTTTGCAGCTGGCTGCAAGTCAAAAGCACACTCAACAGGTTTTAAAAACCAAAAGAACTGTGGATGCTGTGAATCAGGAACATAAACAAAGTTGCTGGAAAAGCTCAGCAGGTCTGGTAGCATCTGTGAAGAATAAAAAAAGAGTTAATGTTTTGGGTCTGGTGACCTGATGCTGCCAGACCTGCTGAGCTTTTCCAGCAACTTTGTTTTTGTCAATAGGTTTTAAGGTTGGTAATTTTACTTCAGTCGCACAAGGCAGCCCTGTATAGGAGCTGGCACGAGCCCCCTCATCAAAATTACAGCATAGAAACAGGCAACTTGGCTCAACTGAAACCAGTCAGTGTTAATGTTTTATCGATTTACCTTGCACTGTGCTTCATCCAATACTATCAGCATCTTCTTTGATCTTATCCTTCTTGTACACTAAGTTAGCTTGGCCTTAGAAAGGCATCTAAGCTATTCATCTCAATTACCGTATGTGCTAACAAGCTCTGCACATGTCTACAATCTAATCATTGGGTAAACAGCACTCCCCTGTGCCAACTGTCTGCCCCTCTTCCACAGTTACGTTCATGTCTGGGTGTCCTTAGAGAAGGAGCACGCAATATCCATCAATGCCCTCGATACCTTGGGCAATGAGTGCTTTATTTTGACCTCTAACTCCATTTTGATTTAGTCCCTTCTTGCTCTCTCTACTCGCCCCTTCACCTTTGATGGCTTGCATTGCCCGTGATAGGCTTCGCTTTTAAATATTCAATTGGCTACACAGGTGTTTTACTGGTGATAGTTACTAGTTTTAAAAAAAATGGAGAAAAAAAAGTCATGGTGATTTTGGTGGTGGGAAGGAGGCTCAGTTGTGCATTTCTACTTCTGGGAAGAAGGAAAAAACAGCACTGACCCTGAACAATAAAAGAAAAAGTACTCTCCTGAATTCCCCATTTGATTCATTTGCCATCATCTTCGATTTATGAGCCCTAGTTTTAGACTCTCTCACAAGAGGAAACAGTTCATGCAATATAAAAGAGCAAGCTAATGGATGAATGGCTCATGATATTCATAATGCATAAATCTGAGTTAGTTTCTTAATTGACTAATGCCTTTTAATAATCATTACCCTCAATTATTGCACACTTCAAGGGCCAATCGGGATCGGACTGTGGATTTGGACACAAATTAGCACCTTCAGGGCTCAAAGTGTGCAGAGGAAGAGAAAATAAAAAAATAGGCAAGTAGGGCAAATTGAAAACAAAAGCAACTGGTCATTAAACTACCCTGTAATCTGATACAACTAAACCTTCTCAAACATCTATTTACTTCAAATACTCAGTCCTTGGATGAATATGGGAACACAACCAACTTCAAGTTCCTCTCCAAGCCCCACATCATCCTGACTTGGTCAAAAACCCAGAACTTCCTCCTGAACAGCACTGTAGATCCACCGACACCAGATGGACTGTAGTGGCACATCACTGCAATTTCGGGAAATTCAGGATGGACAACAAATGCTGGCCTTGCCAGCAATGCTTAACATAAAAAAAAATGAAGAGTTCAGCAGATTATCAGTCGGGCAGGGGTCTGCATATGGTACATTAGATAGAAATTAAGTATTACCTCAACATTTTTCAGAGTTTGTTTTAGCACAAAGACGAAGTTCTGGACCTCTTCATTCTTCACAGCGAGGGTGGTAATAATCCTCTTCAAAGTCTCCTGAGGAAAGTTAAGGAGGAACAGGAACAGAGTTGGAGAAGAACACGAGTTTTAATCAGAGAAAAAAAAACTATGTATCTACATCTGCATTATCCACAAGAATCAGAATAAAATGTGAGCCTCAACTTTGCATGAAGTGAAGTTTACAAATTGATTTTTCACTCAAGTTTTGCATATTTCTTAAAATATTACCTCATGACATACTAGAAAACACTTATTGTGGCAAGTGACAATTCTGTGCAGCATAATTATGTTGTCACAAAGCAAAATGTGTTAATACGGAGGAATCTGGTGAGCTGCTATGACAAACAATACACTGCTAATAACTCAAACATTATTGGATTGCTGGCTGTAGTAACTAAATCCAGACAGCTGCAATGACATACAGGAAAGTTCAACTCCACTGCGGTGTCAGTACACTTCCTACTATATTGAGTGGGCTTCAAATTCTGATACAGTAATTGCTTACACGTCAAAACAGTTCCAAGTTTCCACTGTCAGAATTATCAAAATGTTGCACCATTATGGTCAGTTTATAGTTGTGCAAATTTGTTACATCAGTGTTGACCAGTTACAGAAAAGAACATGACCCATATTACACACTGATTTGCTAATTCACTACTGTGCAACACTCTACAGTGTAAGCTGCTTACATCTGTCTTGTTTATACACAGGAATCTCAGTTATAACCAGCTGTCACCCAGACACCAAGAGAATGATCTACAGGCATTAACTTTAGATCAGTGGTTGCACTGTTACCTGAGTCAGGTCACAGGATATAACAGCACTCCAAAGATTTGTGTGTATAACTGCTCCCATTCTAGTGCTGTGCTACAGGAGTACAGCATTATAATTATCAAAAATGTCATCTTTCAGGAGACTTCAAATGGGTCCCACTGCACTATTCAAAGAAGAGCAGGCAGAGTTCTATCAGAGTTCTGCCAAGACCTATCACTAAAACAGTTCACTCGATCTACTTTAATGCTGTCTGTGGGATTCTAATGTGAATAAATTTGTTGCTATATTTTCTTGCATTAATTACAATATTTTAAAAAGTGCATCTTTGGCTACAAGTTGCATAGATGTCCAAACACCAGTAAACACAGGTTTGTTTGTTTTTCACTCGGAGTGGAACAGATTGTAAAACTGTCGAGAGCCAGGAGAAGCCAATTTTTAAGCGAGCTATTTCCTTGTGCTGATGCTCAAGTTAATAGCCTTAATCTCAGTGGAACTGGCAACTGTAAAATCCATATACTGTGTCTGCTCGAGTTCTATGCTGGTGAGAGCAGAGGGCATGTTGGACCAGTGAACAGCTGGAGCACTGAATCTGTTGATGTTCCATACAGTGCTCTGTTGGTCCACATAAGGTTTTAAGCTGGTTTGTCAGGGCTGGATTTGGAGTGGAGCACACAGGATATTAAAAAAAAAACCCTAGTAGAGGCTTATACAATACTGCTGTACAATAGTATGAATTTCAAATCAATTGCTTATGTTAAATGTTACTTGATTTATTAGATCGCAATTTTACAGCAGTAATAGTCTTAGATCTACTATTGAACTTCAATTTGGAATTCTATAAGTTGTTGTCCACTATATTGGGAGCTATTATGTATAGAGAGACTATAAGATTTGACATTTCTTTTACTTCCCTCCCAGCGAGGTGGTGGTATATTACTGTTCACACAGGAAGTCGGAGTTGTCAAGGCAACATGCATTTTTAAATGTACGTTGTAGTCTGGAACAATGGATAATAATGGTAGAGACACTGCCAATTATCTTTCTGTTCCATAGATAAGTAGGAATCTCTCCTGCTGTAACTGCCTGCCATTGGGTTATTAACACCTAACGTGATTGGCTGCATTATGAACACACCTTTCTTGTCCATCAAGTTCTGAGGTGGGATCTGGACCCAGGGCTTCTTGCTCAGAAGCAGAGATGCCACACACTGCACTACAAGAACACCCTAATCGTTAGCATATCCACCAGTAATTCACCTCAGCGCAATATAGTTCAGTCTGCTCCCCTCAGAAACAGCCAAAGCTTCTTAAGGATAGGAATCTAGAATCTCAACATTTTCTGCTGTTCCTGTCAGAAATTCCAGCAGTGTCAGAAATACTTGTTTGCCAGTTGAGAATTAAATACATGTAGAATATGATGGACTTAGCCATACATCACGTAAGCAGATTCAGTAACTTGATTTTTCTCCCTCTTAAATCAGAGACAGACAGGCATTAGACAACATGTACTTAATGGAATCTCAATTATTTCTGTGCACTAGGCCATGCATCCATCAAATTACAAGGCACACATCCATTTATTTGAATGTTTTATTCATTCTTCTCGGTAACATTTTTACACCAATGTTACTCTCAAGCGAGTTACACCAACTTGCATCAAGTGGTGATATCTCACCTACCTCTCCTATTCGCTATGCACACAGCTCTTGCTTTAAACAGTACGCCCCTTCTACAGCTTTGTCCAACTTCCTTTTTGCAGTCACCTGTCTTCCTGCACTTCACAGGGACTATTCTTTCCTTTTGCTACCAAAAGGACTCTCCATATGAATGAGGAACAAGAATAGGCCAGTCAAATCATAGTCTGATCTGTCATTAAGATTGCGGCTGATCAGATTGTGGTCTTAATTCTACATTTGCACCAAGTGCCAGCCAATGACCATTTCCAACAAGACAGAATCCAACCATGATTCCTCAACATGCAATGGCATTACAATCACTGAATTCCACACTATCAACTTCCTAAAGGCTCCTATTGACATAAACTGAACTGGTCAAACCACATAAGTAACTAGCTACAAAGACAGATCAGAGGCTATGCTGCAGTGAGTAACTCACCTCCAGACACCCCAAAACCTGTTCACCATCTACAAGGCACAAGTCAGGAGTGTAATGGATTGCTCCCCAATTGCCTGGATGCGTGCAGCTCCAACAACACTCAAGAAGCTTAGCACCATCCAGGACAAAGCTGCCTGGATAGTTGCTTGTGGATGAGGAGCCAGTCATCAGTGATGCTGAGTAGCAGCAGTGCATTCTATCTACAAAATGCATCACAGAAATTAACCAAGGTTCCTTAGACAGCAGCTTCAAAACTCGCAACCAATACAATTTTGAAGGACTTGGGCTGAAAATACATGGAAACACCACCTGCATGTTTCTGTCCAAACCACTCACCATTGTGACTTGGAAATAGATCATACTTCCTTCAGAGTTATTGGATCAAAAATCCTAGAAATTCACTCCCTAATGGGTGTGCCTAGGCCAAATGGACTACTGCGATTCAAGGCAACAGCTCACCACAATCTTCTCAAGGCCAATTGCAGATGGACAATAAATGCTGGGCCAGCTAGCAATGGCCACATCCCATGAATGAATGAATAAAATAATTCCCACTTCTACTTGATAGATTCTTGACTAACAAGGGACTCAATCTAGATCTGCTTTAAAAATATTCATTGACACCCCCACCTCAGGCAACAGTGTTCCAAAGATTAATGCCTCAAATAAAAATCCTCCTTATCGTTATTTTCCTCCAGAAGACATTTTCTTTAATCCTGTAAAATGAAGGATTTTCTTATTTTAATGAAGATCTCTTCATTCGGTCTGTACCTCCATACTATATTACAATTCTCCCATTTTCCATCACTGGGCAGAGATGCACTGATATTGAAGGCTGGAAAAATAACACACAAGTAAAGTTCCAGAACATTCCATAGTTTATGTATGCTTTCACACCACATATCCAATAACACTGCCATAGCTCATCAGGTCTAGAGTTACAGAGAATGGCCACTTGACCGAGAAGGCGCCACTGCAATCTGACACATTTTAAGCTGATGATGAAAGGGAAGACTGAAAAATAGTCTGCAGGATATATTATAGAGACATCTGCATTATGTGGGACATGTACTAGGCTTGAGGTTGCTGTACTAGTTGTAATGCAACTTCAGGTCCACTCATGCAATCCAGAAAACCCATTTAGTGATGGGATGCAACTGTGATTCAGTCCAAGCTTTAAAAATTAAAGCAAAGAATTTCCATGCTGAGCTAATTGCCTTCCTTATTCGCTCATGTTGCCACTATGTAAATACTGTGACTGTTTTCCTGAGAGCACAGTTCCAGGCTTATTGGCCACCCTCTGCTTATTCACTTCACAAAACCTTCAAATGCTGGCAGTGTAAGGTAGGAATGTTAGACCGTCAACATGCTTCCAGTGTCCAAAAAGAGAAATAAGTTAGTCACAGTCTCTGGACCCGGGCTACAGCAATAAACAATTTTTAGATGTGGGTGGACCTGCTCTGCACTCCAAGCCAGCACCTTATGACTTTATACTGTGCTGCTTTTTTTTTCCAGAATAACTGCTTAAGTCTCTCTGGGTCTCTCTGATGTTGTCTAACATTCAGGCTGTCAGTATTGGGATTTAGCCACATTAGCCACATCTCTCTTTGATATACTGTGTAGATTGGGGGGGGGGCTGATTGGTGAGTAGCAGCAGTAAACAAGGAAATATTAGAAAACTGCCCCTCAATAGTCCTGAAGAAAGGTTATACCCAAAACAATGACTGCTCCTTTCCTCCAAATGCTGCCTGGCTTGCTGCACTCTTCCAGCCTCCTGCCTGCCCCTCAATACTGTCAGTTCTGCTTAATCTGGGACTCTGCAAGTTTGTATAAAAGCTAGCAGCACTGGGCCTTATGTATACAAACGACAACAGTCCTGCTATAAAATGTAACGTGGTGTATTGTAGGCTTAGAAATTGGAACCAGCTCACACAAACTGGGACTTGTACCAATTTATTTTCCTTTATATATTCTATAAATCAGTAGATTTCCCACATGTCCAAAGTGGTTCAAATAACTAACTTGAAATTTTGGAAAAAGGACAACATTCAAGTATACCCAAGTTCTTTCCCCCATTACAGAAATATTCCATTTTAAAAATGTCACCAAATTGAGACCCAACCACATAGCCCACAGACTCTCAGCCATTTTAGCACTTTGTAGCAGTCTGTCAAGTTTTACAAGTCCATTCTGCACCGTGATCAATCTGCAAAGTTCACAATTCTGGTCTATGTTGACGCTCAGTATGATAATAAAATCGACACTGACACAGGCCTAAAAACACAGGCAGCAAGATACAACTTAATATTTAACTGAGTTAAAATAAAAATTAACCAATTTCTTACAAATAGAAAATCCCAAGTATAAATGAGGTAAAATAAAGGGCTCAGTATATGCTGGAAAATAGACAATGCAGACACCACACCTGCAGTATTCCACCAACTAATCCATGCCTAGAACAGTCTACACTGACTCTCTGCAACAGCAAAACGTAGTCATTTACGACCACCTCCCACCCCATTTTCGTTTCAAATGCTGGTTCAATTTTCTTTATCACGTCCCCATTGACATATAGTTTTAATAATTAAATTATGCTGCAATGTTAAGCTATGGACTATCATAGAGCTTTGAAATTCATCTGTGTTACGATATGAAAATTCAAACTGGGTGCACACAATCTCCCTCCCCTCCCCCGTTCCCCATGCTGAAATCCACCAGGTCGAACCATTCATTGTAGATGTGACATTGTCTCTCTGTTACCTTACTGTGATCTGCCATCGCGGCTGAGCAAAAATCCTTTCCGTTTCTTTAAAAACAGGCTGAGTGCATTGACATTGCGCTAACTTAATTTCTCCTCCCTTGTCTTTAAAACCCCGAACAAAAGCACAGTTACAGCTACAGAGGGGGAGAAAGGGCCTGCCACTAAACAGCACCAGCTCTGCGCAACAGCAGCGAACACTACAGCGGATTGTGGGATTTGTAGGAGATACTCCGGCGGATTTTAACCACACCACATCCACACAGCCGGAACCATCTCTATCCTTCAAAGCTTCAACAAATTAGATTCTCCTGGGCTACTAATCCCAGGGTTAAACTATGTCAGAGCAAAATAGTGTGTACTGGTATTAAAGACATCAGTCCTTCTTGATAAGTTCCCGTTTATAGTACGTTTAAAAATACATTTTAACAATTCTTTATTATACCAAATGGCTTTCTCACACAAATAATTCCTTTCACAGTCTAATGATGTGACCATGTGGGCAATCATAGCAGCTATTTTATTCTTATACTGTCCTCAAATAGCAAATACATCAATACCGGTTAATCAGGTTTTAGTGTTCTGAGGAAGGGTCACTAGAGCTGCACAAATGCTGCCAGAACCGCTGAGCTTTTCCAGCAATTTCAGTTTTTAGTGGTGTTGGCTAAGATTGAAAATTTTAACTAGGATACCAATAGAAATCCTCGCTTTTCTGAGTATTGTTTAATTGTTTGAAAGGCCAGTAATCCTTTAGTATTGTCCTAGTATGTCTGTACTATCCACCCTGGTTGTGGAGCTCAACCCCAAAAAGCAGCTGATTCTGAGATGACAACTTTCTTAACTGAGCTACACCAATTGTTTGTGAACTCAGAATGTATTGCTGGGGTCATGAGTGTGTGTAGACTGTATCAAAATTTATACTTGGTCAAAACTCATTTGTGAAACACTTGTCTCTTTACTCCTCTGGCTTTCAAATAATGTTTGAAGCATTGTGATGAAGGTTTGTGCTTTATTAACGCAGACAGAACTACGTACAGCTTTAATGTTGATCTGTTTCTATATTGTGTGGTCAAGAAGGGAGGACATAGTTTTAGTTTCATTTTTGAATTCTGCAGTACTGAATTCTGGAAATTTCTTTATATTTACATTTCTTTACATTCTTTAGATGTATGCAGTGGATGAAATATGTTTGGATTTCCAAAAGGTGTGGGATAAGGTACCACATGTTAGGCTACATAATAAGGTGAGTCCATCATGTTATTAGTGGTACATTAGCATGGATAGAGGATTGGCTAAGTTATAGAATACAGGAAGTTATAGAGTCAAACAGCATGGAAACTTGCTCTGCAGTCCAATGCATCCATACCAACCAGGTATCCTAAATGGAATTAGTCCCATTGGCCCATATCCCTTTAAACCTTTCCTATTCGTATACCTATCCAAATGTCTTTTTAAAAGTTGTAATTGTACCTGCCTCTGGAACATGCAGCACACTCTGTGTAAAAAAGTTGCCCGTCAGGTCCCTTTTAAATCTTTCCCCTCTCACCAAAAACCCATGCCCCCTAGTTTTGGACTTCCCTACCCTTGGAAAATGACCTTGACTATTCACCTTATCTGTGCCTCTCATGATTTTATAAACCTCTTTAAGATCACCCCTCCAATGCTCCAGGGAAAAGATGCCAGTCTATCCAGCCTTGCCTTATAGCCTATAGCCAGTGGAATGCCACAGGGATCAGTGTTAAGACCACAATTATCTACAATATTCATTAATGAGTTGGATGAGGAAGGTGAATGTATTACCACCAAGCTTACAGATGACATAAAAATGATGGGAACGCAATTAGTGACGATGCTGCATTGAGTTGAATCTTACATTTGTTTGACTATGTTTGAGTTACGTGCAGTGACTTGGAGTGTTTTTCACTGTGAGGTCTAGTGAGTTTTCTCGTCCTATCTTACCAAATGCTCTTCATTAATAACATATTACACCCCTATGGCATCCGTGATGTCTGATTTCCACCTCATTTTACTACATGCCATGTTGCTGATCTCCCGCTCTTGAAGGCAAGATGTTGCTCACCATCGATGAGCCCACAACAACCCTTTCCTTTCAATGCTCTGTTGTTTCCAATCCTTGAATTGCCCCCTTCATAATTGTTATCCATCTGCAATGCAGTATGCTGCCTATAATCCCCACAATTTAGTACCCCAGCTTTCTTCCCGCAGGATTGGCCCCAGACCTAGAATTTTAATAGCCTGACCCCCAGAGCTGATCTTGGCCCATCTCCTTGACTGACGTAGATCCACAAACCTCAGCAATGAGTGAGCAGACTTTGACTGATGTCCGTGCAGCTCTCTGTCTAACTTCCCATGACTTCCTGACCTGATGCAACTATCCAGCATGGCTGATCTCAACCCTCAGTACTGATCATAGGTCACTCCCTGGACTGTGGAGGTACAAATTCTCCTAACCCCAAACATTTCAAGAACTGACTGACTCCCCAAGCCTCTAGACTGATATCAGAAATTGCCCTTGAGTTACCATATCTTCCTTGACACTTGAGGATTACTTCCCTTGGACTTCGAGACTTGGTCGTTTTCTTGAAGCACAAGCAGCGTGTTTAACATGTACCCTGCTGGCATGTGGTGCAGATGTGAGATTGATGGAGCATGGTACTGCATCTCAACATGTCTGCCTTTGACTGATCACAGCTGCCTGCTTTGTGTCCACGCTGAAAGGCAAGTCCAGTGCTGTGAGTCTGTAAGCTCTGGTTGTAGGGGCAAAGTGAAAATTGGCAAAACAAGAATTCTGTGAGCATCACATAGGCATGGAGTGAGTGAATGTTAAGAAGTGTACAGCCTGAGATACAGTCTGGTCCAATCTATGAGTTAGGTGCCAGTTCCTGCATATGAAGTGTCCTTTCAGTTGCAATTAACATTGCCAGTACACTCCAAAGTGGAGTATTGAAGCGCAGAACTGTACTGTAAGTGAATCAAAGATGTCCCATACTGATATGGTGAGGTTGGTATGTGTTGAATAGCAGTGTATGTGGACTGGGCTGCACCCGTGGTGTGTGCCCTGAGATGTTAGTGCCTAATGTCCAACATGGAGTTCCAAAGAATCAAGCAGTAAGCTGGAGTCGGCAAGTAGCTAGTCTGACTTTCATGTCAGAAATTATTGCCACCATTTACCTGTCACAAATGAATTTGTTTTGCCACTGTATTGGTAAGAGTGACCATAGCACAGTCCTTGTGGAGATAATCTCCCATTTTCAAACTGAAGACTCCCGCTATTGTGTTGTGAGGCTATCAGGATAAAGTCACATTAGAACTAGCAACTCAAAACTGGTCATCTCATGGCAATGTGGGCCATCAGCAACAACAATTGTTTTCCACCACAATCTGTTACTCCTGTTATTCAACATATTCCTCAGTGTGGCGTGACCACTAAGGCAGTAGATACACACACACAGATACGCATACACACATACACACACATGGAAACTTTATAAGCCATTACATTATTTTCTCATGTATTAATCACCTTGGCTCATGTGTATGTGCCCTTTTTTTTGCCATAATGAATATAAACTGGTCGTGGTGAAGGTCTGTGTTAGTTTTGTTTCATGGTGCATCACTTGAATGGGCATCAAAAAGGAAATTGGCACCTTCACCAAAGAATTGTATTGTGAGTATGACAACAGGAGGGCAAAAGGGGAAAATATACCAAAAGTCTGCAAAGTACTTTCAGAAACAATGTGTTTGACAGCCATACTCCATTGTTTCCATGACCATAAAGATAAAGGAGCTGGAGTTAACACACTAAACAGCCGCCTGTCTTTCTTAAAGGGAGGCACAGAGATAATATATGTAGGGATGGCTTTGACTAGCCCTTGGGTGACTGTCTGTGCGGAGTTTTCATTGTGTCTGTGTGGGTTTCTGCCAGGTGCTCCGGTTTCCTCCCATAGTCCAAAGATGTGCAGGCTAGGTGGATTGGCCATGCTAAGTTGCCCTGTAGTGTCCAGGGATGTACAGACTAGGTTTATTAGCCATGGGAAATAAAGGGTTACAGGGATAGGGCGGTGGTTCTGGGTGAGATGCTGTTCAGAAGATCAGTGCAGACTCAATGGGCCAAATGTGCTCTACCTGCACTGCAGGGATTCTATGATTCTATTGCAAGAGAAGGGGTCAACCTGATAAACAACTTTCTGCTGTAGCTGAGGTAAAGCAGTTTGGTCAGCTAGTCCCAAATTGAATCAGGAGATCTGTTGATGGATGGACTATCTGAGAGAGACCTTGGTTTATGGAACTTCTAAGCGACCCAGGTCATTGTAAGTATGTATTATTGCTTAGTAGTGTTATAAAGGTGTCCCACATTAAATGGAACGGTACCCAAGTCGTTCTGTGCTATTGATATCTGGGCCAGAGCCTTTAGACCCTAGAAAGGACTTTTTTTACATGAATAGCCCAAGACATATCTAAAATGAGTTGGTACAACACAGGACTGCTTGCATGACAAATAGTGAATGAAGTATGGGAGCTAAGCAATCCCACAACTGAAGGGTTATATCAAAGCTCTACCACATCCAATCCTGATGGTGGTGAACATTAAAACAACTCACTGGAGATGGAGGCTCCATAAACAACCCCATCCTCAGCTGATGGGAGAGCTCAACACAAAAGGATAAAAATAAAGCACTTGCAATGATCTTCAGCAAGACGTTTTGAGTGGATGATTCATATCAGCCCTCTCCTGAGGGCTTCAGTGTCTTAAAAGTTAATCTTCAACCAATTTGTTACACTCTGTGTAACATTAAGAAATAACTCATGATTCTGGATACGCAAGTGATGATGGGCCAGACAGCATCTTGAAAACCTGTGCTCCAGAACAAGCCACAGCAATTGCCAAAGCTTTGTTCCTGTACTCTGGATGGAATATTTTATTGTCCATCACCAAGAATTGCTCAGCAGCACCGCTACGGATTTAGCTGGTTGAATCCTAAAGGACATATGTGCTAGTGGTGCAGGAACCAAAAAGAGAGGAAAACCTACTTGACCACAACCTCACCACTTTATCTGTTGCAGATGAATCTCTCAATAGTAGTAAGACTGACTAGCGCATTGATTTTGTGAAGGTGAAGTCTTGTATTTATATCAAGAATACCCTCCATGGATTGTGTAGGACTACTGCTGTGTTAAACGGTATAGACCTAGAATGGAACTAGCAACTCCA